GGAGGACAGACATTTGTTTAGAACTCTTAAAGATGTCGAAGAAGCTCCTTTAAGCAATTACTTTGGTGTTCCTCCACCTCCAAACAAATGTCAGAAGGAGTCCGAACCACAAAAGAAGCGAATATTCTCAGACAAGTGGTTGCAGGAGGTGAGCTGGCTTCAAACAAATGATGAACGCACAGAGATGTGGTGCAGAATGTGCCGTGAAAATCCCACTCTAGGACAGAAACAGCCTTTATATGGACGCAAACGCACGCTGCAACTTCTTATCTGCTGCGCGTCTTTTATCTTGACAGCGAATGCGCACATGCGGACCACTTATGTGCACCCGTGTAAATAACATAATGTTCTGCCGGGTGTGTTGTTGGTTTTCCCTCGATTTCTGAGTCGACAAGCGCCTTTGTTACTGGGACCAGTCAGTTTAAAAAAGGCCCCCATTAGAAATGCATTATTGCTCAGTCTGCAATATCTTTCCCAGAACAAACACCAACTGCAAATAACAGACTAAAAATAAACCTGAAAGATCTGTTTAGAACAGCTACTATGTTGCAAAGAGTGAACGACCACTGGCACAATGTAGCCGTCTGTGCAAACTTCAAACAGCAGTCACGCCAGGTGGCGCTCTGCTGACAGACGCTGTCTTTAATCATGTGATCGACACATATTTGGTTCATGCCGTCATCATCAAAGCATGCTGGGAGAAAGGAGTCTCGCCCGGCAACCTTCCTGTTTGACCGCGATGAGTCATCATGTGGAACCTGAGTTAGCTCCACCCGCTCTTCATTTTGATCAACTGAAGTCACATGACCTCCGCCCTGCGGGTTGTTAAAGTTGTGACCTCGTAGTAAAAAGAAAATGACTGATGGTATGAAACCACAAAAGATCTGCTGATAGAGCAGCTGTGCAACAGCGCCCCCTGCAGGCCTGTTTTTCATTGAGTTGAAGTGTAATGACCCCACAGGTGCCGGCTCCTGGCCCACTGTGGAACTGTGTGTTTTACTGGTGAGCGGACGGCGGTTTTAGTTTCCTGTTAATAAAAAATCTTTTTTTGAAAGCCAGCTTTGTCTCCACGCTCGTTGTTGCTACGCCGCACCTCCCAGACTCCTGTTGGAGCAGCACGACGAACCCCTCGGTCTACACGCACCAGTAGCGGTCTTAGATACGGGCGACACGGGCAGTTGCCGGGGGGGCATCACAGGCATCGGCAAAAAAAAAGTTGCTCATACTCATGCTGCCCCAACGTCAGCCAGCGCATATTGGGAATGTCACAGGCACCGATCAGTTTTCTGTCACCCATTTGCTGGGAGTAAGGGCGCCCTCCGTTTGCGAGGTGCGCCTGCGCGCTGCTGAAGTCAAAGTAAACTTTATTGTCATCTCTGCTACAGACAGTCCAGCATATAGAGACGAGACGACGAGGCTGCAGTTACAGCGGTGCAAGTAAACAAACAATAAATATAAGAAGAGTAAGAAAACAAATCTACACTTTAGGACTCGGGGTAAAGGATCAATAACAATTTAATTTATAATTTACAGTTTGATGATTTAAAGTCTCACACAACCTGTCGAAAGGGGCGGGGCCTGCTGCTTCCAAATAGAGCACATTTCATTTATAATGATGTAAATCCAAGCCCATCATGGATCCATGATCTGAATCCTGGGTTGTGTGAGATCCCAGAAATGCACCTTAGACAAAGGGAATCAGTGAACTAAGGTGTAGGTCTGTTAGGTCATGTTGTGGTGATCCTCGAGTCCTCCATTATTTGTGTTCATACTGGAGTGCAAAATGAAAACCAGTGGAAGATGGACAAGAAAAGCTCAAAGCCATCAGGTGCTCAGTTTAGAAAAAAAGGGAAAAGAAGAGGAGGGGAAACGAGCAACAGATGCAGGTAAGCAGATGTGTGATTGGATAATGGCAGGTCATCCTGAACCAATCAGAATCAGAATACTTTATTGATCCCTGAGGAAATGATGTTACAGTTGCTGCAAGAAGAAATGGTAAAAACAGCAACAGTAACAGACTAAACTCCAAACATTATGTTACAGGTTTTAATATTAATGAGTCAGTTGTTGATCTGTCCTGATCTCATTGTGTGACGTGTTTGGTAGCCGTTTGCATACTCTCTCTCTTCATATGTGTGTGTTTCTCTGGTGAAATTCAGTGTGGTTCCAACAACAATGTTAACGTACAATCCTTAATATGTTGCGTGTGTGTGGGGGGAGGAGGAGTGTTCGCCAGGGCGCCAAACGGGCTAGGACCGCCACTGACACGCACACATGCTGGGTGGGGTCCGGGTGGTGGTTTAGGGCAGTCAAACTGTCACTGTTGGATTCTGGGATATGTTTAATCATAAAAATGTTTTATTAATTTGCTTCTATAAATTCTTCTGTGCTTCAAAGAATTTGAGCCATTGTTGTGGCAGGATGACGGAAGGTTCTGGAATGTAGTGAACCATCTGCAAAAGCCATGAGGCTAAACCTCAGCCATACTGCGCCAGATTAATACTATTATTTCTGTGATTATTAATGATCATATTTAATGACATAATTTGTCACAGAAAAACAGTATAGGTGAAATAAAGCCATTAAAAACATTCCTGTATAAAATAAACCCATCAGAGAAAGTAAAGAAACCAAACATCAGATCTCACTGGGAGAAACGAAGCTGGGTGATGTGATCGGGAGGAAACGGTGCCACATCGTTTGACTCACACCGAGTTCAACGATACCCCAAAGATCAAAATCAAAGTGAGTCCACTGAGCTGAAATTTCCCTGCATCTCCTCCCACATCTGGACCTGGGCATCAGGACATTGTGTCCCCGAAGACTAAGGTCACTGGTATCAGTTCCTTGGAGAAAACAGGTCCAAATATGTCTGCAGCAGCTCTGCTGTGCACATGTGGTCACGTTACCCTGAGCTGGGGTGGAGGGGACACTTATAGGCAAGACATGAAACTGTGGAAGAGACTGTGATGTTTAAGGAGCAGGTGGGGAGAAACCTGATGTCTGGTGTTTGTCCGAGGCTTCACGATCACTGTCGGAAAGGCCAGCATGTGGCTGGAGACTGCTGCACCCCTTGGCTGAATGATGAGACAGCGCCCTCTGCTGAAAACCCTCGGCACAGCATTCGTGGAAGCCTTGAATGTGACAGTTCAGCAGCCTGTGAGCTGTTCGGCTCTCGGCTGTTTGTGCTGTGAACACGACAGAAACATCCCAAATTTTGTATTTCTTTTATTTTTATGTGTTCGATGTCTCTACCTTTGTGCTCATCTTTGTTTATATTTCACCTTCCTCTATTTTTAGTAGTAGTAGTATTTTACTAGTACAGTGGTCAGGGTGTGGATGTCCCTGAAGAGGGATGACATGACAGAAGAAATAACTAAAAAGAAAAGTCTATGAAAATAAGGTTTTATACTTACTTCAATTCAATTCAATTTGATTTATATAGCGCCAAATCACAACATAAGTCGCCTCAAGGCGCTTCATAGTTACAGAGAAAAACCCAACAATCATATGACCCCCTATGAGCAGCACTTTGGCGACAGTGGGAAGGAAAAACTCCCTTTTAACAGGAAGAAACCTCCGGCAGAACCAGGCTCAGGGAGGGGCGGGGCCATCTGCTGTGATTGGTTGGTCATCTTGTAATAAAAGTTTGTCACAAAGCCAGCTCTTTGAGGCTGACATCCAAAACAAAAACAAGAAAGGGCGAGTTGGGGGAAAAAAACTAAACTAAAGCCTAAACTGTGGCAAACTAAAAATAAACATGAAAACTATGATATGGGACGTAATCTGAACAGGTGCATGCAAACACTGTGACCAGAAACTTGAAGATGAACTTGAACAGGAGCATGAAAACAATCGTGAGACTTACAGTGACAGGAGATAAGCAGACGACCTGACACCGAACAGCATGAGACAGAGGACTTCAATGCACAGAAGGGTAATGAGGGAAGTGGAAACACTCGGGAAACACAGCTGACACAAATGAACATGACGCCAGGGAGGAAACAAAAGTAACGCAATGAACATGGAGCACAAGACCTTCAAAATAAAACAGGAAAGACGCAACCCAGTATGCACAATACAATCCTTCAGGGGAAGGATGCTGCGTAGGATCCTTTGATAGCCGGTTAGGACACAAGTGAGCGGCTGTGAAACTGGCCTTCTAGCCTTCGTTTATTTATTTATTTATATTTAAAATAAATATAAAAGAAAAAGAAAAAATGTGAGTTTCTGAGTCGTGTCGGGTCCTTTGGTTACAATCACCATCCAGGTAGAATCACTGACGGTTCACCACAGCCGGGGTGCAGTGATGCAGCGT